ACCATAGTATTGGTATACCTGAAATAAAAGTAATAATTATACATGAAAATCATATTTTTCTGGATTTTTAATTTCACTATTGTGCTTTATTAGACCCTGTTTCAGGAGCTGCCTGAAAACGGAAGTACTAATTTAGGATCCGTCTGTCTGGATGTCAATGTGTGTCTTCATTATTTTCCCGGAAATTCTGCAGAAGGTATCATTGAAACTTGACAAGTTGATTAACAATCTGTTAAAAAGGCTCTGAATTTTTTTTTCAAAATCTGAAAATCCTAAGTGAGTCTTTATCATGATTATCTTCAAGAACATTGACAAACAAATTTTGCATGCTCAGTATAAATTGATTTAGTTAGATTCAGATTTAGATTCATGAATGTATTGATTGATTTCAGATTCACAAGTTTTACATAATGTATTCGATCCCAAATAAAATAGAAAATACGAAGTTGTCATGAACAAACCAAAGAAATGATACAAAATAGTTGATGTAGTAAACATTAAAATTTCAATGATTTTAGTGTGTTCAAATTCTGATGATTTCTATGGCTTCCAATTTGTGTGTATGGACTTAAATAGTTGTGTGGATATAATCACCTCCAGTTGTAATTACTGAGGCCAATAGTGATTTTGAACAACAGCGCATCCTGGCATATTCTCAATATGTTTATATTGGATATAGTACAGTGTAGGATTTTCAGGATTTTTGCGTGTTGTGGGGCCAAGCCAGTACTGTGTTCTTGAGACAGGTACAAAACACAAAACTTGTACCTGTATTGTCTTTTCTCTTAATTGTTTATCTTCATAATGTGGATGATTAGTTAACTTTCTCCCAGTACATAATTTAACACCAGCCAACAATTGCATGCTACCACTAAATACTGCACTCTTACTGGTAGAATTCCTGACATAACGGAGAAAACATACATTTTATATAAGCTCAGACATTACAATAGTCAGTGCGTTGAAAGGTGAGCTTTTGTAATGTTATGAAGTTATACATAAATGCTGTCGATAATAAGATATGGAGTTTAAAAAAACTGTGTTGACAGTGATGTGTAAGGGAAATCTGCATCCATCATAAAGGTATCCTCGGGGGCGGAGCTACGTCACGGACGTTCCACGTTGCTAAGATGCGCACCACTGTACAATGCATTTCTATGGGCTCTGTGCGCGCTGCTGTGGAACGCCGGTCGAGCCGGTGAAAATTCGAGAAAACAACACGAACTCAACTTTGAAGTAATTCCGAACAACCAAATTTATATATGTTACACACGTAGGGCTAATCTTGTTGCACTGTTCAGAGGAGTCTCAACAATCATTCCAAAGTACCGTTTTCTGCGAGTTTTGGGCCTTTGTTTTCACCGCCGCGGGTTGCCAGGTGGTGAAAATGCCCGGATGTCCGCCCCCGAGGATTCTAATTCTAGAACAAAAATATTTGTGTGTTGATACTCACTTTATCCACTCCATTAGATCAACTGTATCTGGATCATAGAACTCCCTGAGTTCATCCAACTCAGCATAAAGTGCAGGCAAACACTGACAGACAAAACAGAATATGAGATTACACATGTATTACGAGGATACTGCAAAGTATGCATAAAGACAGTACAGTACAGTACAGAGGTT